GCTTGGTGCTGGCCAGTGTCTCACATGCTGCCGTTTCGTTCTTGCTGAGCAGCAGGTAACGTCCACTGGTCGGTGCCTACGTGACAGCAGTGGGATTAGAGCCCACGAGTCTGAACACAGTAGAACTTGAGTCTACCCCCTTAGACCACTCGGGCACACTGACGACGACATGAAAGAACCAACACAAACAAACATACACACACACAACAACACATCAACCACGACACATCACACGACACACAGTACCCGACCGCACAGCACCCGACCACACCAATTTCGAATGCGAAGGTTGACGTGAGCGCTCAGTAGATGATGCTTGTGGCTGAAATAGTAGCATCAAAAGTGAGTTATAAATTGTGTGTTATCTCTTATCTTCTGTGCTGTCATATCGCCGCTTGCTGTCCATACCTTTACGTCTCTTCCCCGCTGATTACACATTTAATTAACCAATCATTGGCCATTGTCGCGTTCCCTTTCTCTCTGATGTGTGCCACAAAGTCTTAGATTTTGTACTGTTGAATTGACTTAGGTTTCTGATGATGAGGCGGACTTGCGGTCGGGATGGAAAACCGAAAAGTGAGTTGTATTTAATTGATTCGCAAATCGAAACCAATGGCTATCCGAAACCGATGACTCTCAGCCACCGATTTCACCGTCCTTTCTCTCCTATGTGACATTTCCTATCTTGGGCAATCACGTCTCGCAACATACCTGCGGTAAACACTCCACAGAAGCCTATGCCCAATGATAGGTTCTTGCGTGGTGTGGGGGACATCACCTCGGGGAGGTCAAGGTTCTGGTGAACCCCAAACACCTGATTGCAGGGGTCATTTGCAATTGACTTCTCCACGGCGGAAATCGAACCCGCACTCAGATGCTTGGAATCCCTTTCCAGACATCTGACCAATTCGTACCCGTACCCTGTCGTGCTAGTACATATATATGTGCATCAATTCAAGCCTATACACGCAATGTACATTGTCCACACATAGCTGCACCATCAATCTCCAACATGACCATCACCAGGAGAGTATAAATGTGCTGCGCTTGAGCTGGGTAACGCTTTGTTTCATCCCGGCCGCCGTCACGGGTGGCACTAGTAAAGGGTGAATACATGGAACTGGGGACCGCTGGTCTGAGGTTGAATACTGTGTTGCTTGACTCTAAGGGTCTGTTGTCAAAGCCAGGGTCATCATATTCCAAGCCAACTATTCTTAATGAGATTATTGACGCCTAAGAGCTGTGACCACTCTTCATACAATCGTCTCGTGATAATGGGACAGGCTCATTTTTCTGAGCGATACTGTCAACTAGGTAGTTCAACGATGTCACAAAGTGAGCGCAGCATCCCTTTGGAGTTGCAGCCGCAATTGAAAGCTTTCGACGAGTCCTTACAAGACAGTGGAATAACGTTCGGGATTACACTTTGTCACGATCGGTCAGATCGGTTTATGTTTGAATCTGTTATAGCTGAAAGACCATATGAAGAGCGGAGTCGTAGCACCCCAATGGATATAAGTGAGTCGAGCATAAGTATCAGTGGCACTTGACAGAGGATTGACGATTCGACTTCTGCATACGCGCACAGGACGCCGAAGTCGTCCAATAGAATTCAGCACTTGTCGTACTTACTGCCTCGCTTGGTGCTGGCCAGTGTCTCACATGCTGCCGTTTCGTTCTTGCTGAGCAGCAGGTAACGTCCAGTGGTCATGGCCTACGTGTCAGCAGTGGGATTAGAACCCACGAGTGCGAACACAGTAGAACTTGAGTCTACCCCCTTAGACCACTCGGGCACACTGACGACGACATAGAAAAGACAAACACAAACACAAACAAACATGCACACAACAACACACCAACCACGACACATCACACGACACACAGTACCCGACCGCACAGCACCCGACCACACCAATTTCGAATGCGAAGGTTGACGTGAGCGCTCAGTAGATGATGCTTGTGGCTGAAGTAGTAGCATCAAAAGTGAGGTATAAATTGTGTGTTATCTCTTATCTTCTGTGCTGTCATATCGCCGCTTGCTGTCCATACCTTTACGTCTCTTCCCCGCTGATTACACATTTAATTAACCAATCATTGGCCATTGTCGCGTTCCCTTTCTCTCTGATGTGTGCCACAAAGTCTTAGATTTTGTACTGTTGAATTGACTTAGGTTTCTGATGATGAGGCGGACTTGCGGTCGGGATGGAAAACCGAAAAGTGAGTTGTATTAATTGGATTCGCAAATCGAAACCAATGGCTATCAGAAACCGATTACTCTCAGCCACCGATTTCACCGTCCTTTCTCTCCTATATGACATTTCCTATCTTGGGTAATCACGACTTGCAACATACCTGCGGTAAACACTCCACAGAAGCCTATGCCCAATGATAGGTTCTTGCGTGGTGTGGGGGACATCACCTCGGGGAGGTCAAGGTTCTGGTGAACCCCAAACACCTGATTGCGGGGGTCATTTGCAATTGACTTCTCCACGGCGGAAATCGAACCCGCACTCAGATGCTTGGAATCCCTTCCAAACATCTGACCAATTCGTACCCTTACCCTGTCGTGCTAGCACATATACATGTGCATCAATTCAAGCCTATATACGCAATGTACATTGTCCACACATAGCTGCACCATCAATCTCCAACATGACCATCACCAGGAGAGTATAAATGTGCTGCGCTTGAGCTGGGTAACGCTTTTGTTTCATCCCGGCCGCCGTCACGGGTGGCACTAGTAAAGGGTGAATACATGGAACTGGGGACCGCTGGTCTGAGGTTGAATACTGTGTTGCTTGACTCTAAGGGTCTGTTGTCAAAGCCAGGGTCATCATATTCCAAGCCAACTATTCTGAATGAGATTATTGACGCCTAAGAGCTGTGACCACTCTTCATACAATCGTCTCGTGATAATGGGACAGGCTCATTTTTTGAGCGATAATGTCAACTAGGTAGTTCAACGATGTCACAAAGTGAGCGCAGCATCCCTTTTGGAGTTGCAGCCGCAATTGAAAGCTTTCGACGAGTCCTTACAAGACAGTGGAATAACGTTCGGGATTACACTTTGTCACGATCGGTCAGATCGGTTTATGTTTGAATCTGTTATAGCTGAAAGACCACATGAAGAGCGGAGTCGTAGCACCCCAATGGATATAAGCGAGTCAAGCATAAGTATCAGTGGCACTCGCCCGAGGATTGACGATACGACTTCTGCATACGCGCTCAGGACGCCGAAGTCGTCCAAAAGAATTCAGCACTTGTCGTACTTACTGCCTCGCTTGGTGCTGGCCAGTGTCTCACATGCTGCCGTTTCGTTCTTGCTGAGCAGCAGGTAACGTCCACTGGTCGGTGCCTACGTGTCAGCAGTGGGATTAGAACCCACGAGTCCGAACACAGTAGAACTTGAGTCTACCCCCTTAGACCACTCGGGCACACTGACGACGACATAGAAAGGACAAACACAAACACACATACACACAACAACACATCAACCACGACACATCACACGACACACAGTACCCGACCGCACAGCACCCGACCACACCAATTTCGAATGCGAAGGTTGACGTGAGCGCTCAGTAGATGATGCTTGTGGCCGAAATAGTAGCATCAAAAGTGAGTTATAAATCGTGTGTTATCTCTTATCTTCTGTACTGTCATATCGCCGCTTGCTGTCCATACCTTTACGTCTCTTCCCCGCTGATTACCCATTTAATTAACCAATCATTGGCCATTGTCGCGTTCCCTTTCTCTCTGATGTGTGCCACAAAGTCTTAGATTTTGTACTGTTGAATTGACTTAGGTTTCTGATGATGAGGTGGACTTGCGGTCGGGATGGAAAACCGAAAAGTGAGTTGCATTTAATTGGATTCGCAAATCGAAACCAATGGCTATCAGAAACCGATGACTTTCAGCCACCGATTTCACCGTTCTTTCTCTCCTATGTGTGACATTTCCTATCTTGGGTAATCACGACTCGCAACATACCTGCGGTAAACACTCCACACAAGCCTATGCCCAATGATAGGTTCTTGCGTGGGTGTGGGGGACATAACCTCAGGGAGGCCAAGGTTCTGGTGAACCCCAAACACCTGATTGCAGGGGTCATTTGCAATTGACTTCTCCACGGCGGAAATCGAACCCGCACTCAGATGCTTGGAATCCCTTTCCAAACATCTGACCAATTCGTACCCGTACCCTGTCGTGCTAGTATATATATATATATGTGCATCAATTCAAGCCTATATACGCAATGTACATTGTCCACACATAGCTGCACCATCAATCTCCAACATGACCATCACCAGGAGAGTATAAATGTGCTGCGCTTGAGCTGGGTAACGTTTTGTTTCATCCCGGCCGCCGTCACGGGTGGCACTAGTAAAGGGTGAATACATGGAACTGGGGACCGCTGGTCTGAGGTTGAATACTGTGTTGCTTGACTCTAAGGGTCTGTTGTCAAAGCCAGGGTCATCATATTCCAAGCCAGCTATTCTTAATGAGATTATTGACGCCTAAGAGCTGTGACCACTCTTCATACAATCGTCTCGTGATAATGGGACAGGCTCATTTTTCTGAGCGATACTGTCAACTAGGTAGTTCAACGATGTCACAAAGTGAGCGCAGCATCCCTTTTGGAGTTGCAGCCGCAATTGAAAGCTTTCGACGAGTCCTTACAAGACAGTGGAATAACGTTCGGGATTACACTTTGTCACGATCGGTCAGATCGGTTTATGTTTGAATCTGTTATAGCTGAAAGACCATATGAAGAGCGGAGTCGTAGCACCCCAATGGATATAAGCGAGTCGAGCATAAAGTATCAGTGGCACTTGACAGAGGATTGACGATACGACTTCTGCATACGCGCACAGGACGCCGAAGTCGTCCAATAGAATTCAGCACTTGTCGTACTTACTGCCTCGCTTGGTGCTGGCCAGTGTCTCACATGCTGCCGTTTCGTTCTTGCTGAGCAGCAGGTAACGTCCAGTGGTCATGGCCTACGTGTCAGCGGTGGGATTAGAACCCACGAGTGCGAACACAGTAGAACTTGAGTCTACCCCCTTAGACCACTCGGGCACACTGACGCTACATAGAAAGGACAAACACAAACAAACATACACACAACAACACATCAACCACGACACATCACACGACACACAGTACCCGACCGCACAGCACCCGACCACACCAATTTCGAATGCGAAGGTTGACGTGAGCGCTCAGTAGATGATGCTTGTGGCTGAAATAGTAGCATCAAAAGTGAGGTATAAATTGTGTGTTATCTCTTATCTTCTGTGCTGTCATATCGCCGCTTGCTGTCCATACCTTTACGTCTCTTCCCCGCTGATTACCCATTTAATTAACCAATCATTGGCCATTGTCGCGTTCCCTTTCTCTCTGATGTGTGCCACAAAGTCTTAGATTTTGTACTGTTGAATTGACTTAGGTTTCTGATGATGAGGCGGACTTGCGGTCGGGATGGAAAACCGAAAAGTGAGTTGTATTAATTGGATTCGCAAATCGAAACCAATGGCTATCAGAAACCGATTACTCTCAGCCACCGATTTTACCGTCCTTTCTCTCCTATGTGACATTTCCCATCTTGGGCAATCACGACTCGCAACATACGTGCGGTAAACATTCCACACAAGCGTATGCCCAATGATAGGTTCTTGCGTGGTGTGGGGGAAGTAACCTCGGGGAGGTCAAGGTTCTGGTGAACCCCAAACACCTGATTGCGGGGGGTCATTTGCAATTGACTTCTCCACGGCGGAAATCGAACCCGCACTTAGATGCTTGGAATCCCTTTCCAAACATCTGACCAATTCGTACCCGTACCCTGTCGTGCTAGCACATATATATGTGCATCAATTCAAGCCTATATACGCAATGTACATTGTCCACACATAGCTGCACCATCAATCTCCAACATGACCATCACCAGGAGAGTATAAATGTGCTGCGCTTGAGCTGGGTAACGCTTTGTTTCATCCCGGCCGCCGTCACGGGTGGCACTAGTAAAGGGTGAATACATGGAACTGGGGACCGCTGGTCTGAGGTTGAATACTGTGTTGCTTGACTCTAAGGGTCTGTTGTCAAAGCCAGGGTCATCATATTCCAAGCCAGCTATTCTTAATGAGATTATTGACGCCTAAGAGCTGTGACCACTCTTCATACAATCGTCTCGTGATAATGGGACAGGCTCATTTTTCTGAGCGATACTGTCAACTAGGTAGTTCAACGATGTCACAAAGTGAGCGCAGCATCCCTTTTGGAGTTGCAGCCGCAATTGAAAGCTTTCGACGAGTCCTTACAAGACAGTGGAATAACGTTCGGGATTACACTTTGTCACGATCGGTCAGATCGGTTTATGTTTGAATCTGTTATAGCTGAAAGACCATATGAAGAGCGGAGTCGTAGCACCCCAATGGATATAAGCGAGTCGAGCATAAGTATCAGTGGCACTTGACAGAGGATTGACGATTCGACTTCTGCATACGCGCACAGAACGCCGAAGTCGTCCAATAGAATTCAGCACTTGTCGTACTTACTGCCTCGCTTGGTGCTGGCCAGTGTCTCACATGCTGCCGTTTCGTTCTTGCTGAGCAGCAGGTTATGTCCAGTGGTCATGGTCTACGTGCCAGCGGTGGGATTAGAACCCACGAGTGCGAACACAGTAGAACTTGAGTCTACCCCCTTAGACCACTCGGGCACACTGACGACGACATAGAAAGGACCAACACAAACAAACATACACACAACAACACATCAACCACGACACATCACACGACACACAGTACCCGACCGCACAGCACCCGACCACACCAATTTCGAATGCGAAGGTTGACGTGAGCGCTCAGTAGATGATGCTTGTGGCTGAAATAGTAGCATCAAAAGTGAGTTATAAATTGTGAGTTATCTCTTATCTTCTGTGCTGTCATATCGCCGCTTGCTGTCCATACCTTTACGTCTCTTCCCCGCTGATTACCCATTTAATTAACCAATCATTGGCCATTGTCGCGTTCCCTTTCTCTCTGATGTGTGCCACAAAGTCTTAGATTTTGTACTGTTGAATTGACTTAGGTTTCTGATGATGAGGCGGACTTGCGGTCGGGATGGAAAACCGAAAAGTGAGTTGTATTTAATTGGATTCGCAAATCGAAACCAATGGCTATCAGAAACCGATGACTTTCAGCCACCGATTTCACCGTCCTTTCTCTCCTATGTGACATTTCCTATCTTGGGCAATCACGACTCGCAACATACCTGCGGTAAACATTCCACACAAGCGTATGCCCAATGATAGGTTCTTGCGTGGTGTGGGGGACATCACCTCGGGGAGGTCAAGGTTCTGGTGAACCCCAAACACCTGATTGCAGGGGTCATTTGCAATTGACTTCTCCACGGCGGAAATCGAACCCGCACTCAGATGCTTGGAATCCCTTTCCAAACATCTGACCAATTCGTACCCGTACCCTGTCGTGCTAGCACATATATATGTGCATCAATTCAAGCCTATATACGCAATGTACATTGTCCACACATAGCTGCACCATCAATCTCCAACATGACCATCACCAGGAGAGTATAAATGTGCTGCGCTTGAGCTGGGTAACGCTTTGTTTCATCCCGGCCGCCGTCACGGGTGGCACTAGTAAAGGGTGAATACATGGAACTGGGGACCGCTGGTCTGAGGTTGAATACTGTGTTGCTTGACTCTAAGGGTCTGTTGTCAAAGCCAGGGTCATCATATTCCAAGCCAGCTATTCTTAATGAGATTATTGACGCCTAAGAGCTGTGACCACTCTTCATACAATCGTCTCGTGATAATGGGACAGGCTCATTTTCTGAGCGATACTGTCAACTAGGTAGTTCAACGATGTCACAAAGTGAGCGCAGCATCCCTTTTGGAGTTGCAGCCGCAATTGAAAGCTTTCGACGAGTCCTTACAAGACAGTGGAATAACGTTCGGGATTACACTTTGTCACGATCGGTCAGATCAGTTTATGTTTGAATCTGTTATAGCTGAAAGACCATATGAAGAGCGGAGTCGTAGCACCCCAATGGATATAAGCGAGTCGAGCATAAGTATAAGTGGCACTTGACAGAGGATTGACGATACGACTTCTGCATACGCGCACAGGACGCCGAAGTCGTCCAATAGAATTCAGCACTTGTCGTACTTACTGCCTCGCTTGGTGCTGGCCAGTGTCTCACATGCTGCCGTTTCGTTCTTGCTTACCAGCAGGTAACGTCCACTGGTCATGGCCTACGTGTCAGCGGTGGGATTAGAACCCACAAGAGCGAACACAGTAGAACTTGAGTCTACCCCCTTAGACCACTCGGGCACACTGACGCTACATAGAAAAGACAAACACAAACAAACATGCACACAACAACACATCAACCACGACACATCACACGACACACAGTACCCGACCGCACAGCACCCGACCACACCAATTTCGAATGCGAAGGTTGACGTGAGCGCTCAGTAGATGATGCTTGTGGCTGAAGTAGTAGCATCAAAAGTGAGTTATGAATTGTGTGTTATCTCTTATCTTCTGTGCTGTCATTCCGCCGCTTGCTGTCCATACCTTTACGTCTCTTCCCCGCTGATTAACCATTTAATTAACCAATCATTGGCCATTGTCGCATTCCCTTTCTCTCTGATGTGTGCCACAAAGTCTTAGATATTGTACTGTTGAATTGACTTAGGTTTCTGATGATGAGGCGGACTTGCGGTCGGGATGGAAAACCGAAAAGTGAGTTGTATTTAATTGATTCGCAAATCGAAACCAATGGCTATCAGAAACCGATGACTTTCAGCCACCGATTTCACCGTCCTTTCTCTCCTATGTGACACTTCCTATCTTGGGCAATCACGTCTCGCAACATACCTGCGGTAAACATTCCACACAAGACTATGCCCAACGATAGGTTCTTGCGTGGTGTGGGGACATCACCTCGGGGAGGTCAAGGTTCTGGTGAACCCCAAACACCTGATTGCAGGGGTCATTTGCAATTGACTTCTCCACGGCGGAAATCGAACCCGCACTCAGATGCTTGGAATCCCTTTCCAAACATCTGACCAATTCGTACCCGTACCCTGTCGTGCTAGCACATATATATGTGCATCAATTCAAGCCTATATACGCAATGTACATTGTCCACACATAGCTGCACCATCAATCTCCAACATGACCATCACCAGGAGAGTATAAATGTGCTGCGCTTGAGCTGGGTAACGCTTTGTTTCATCCCGGCCGCCGTCACGGGTGGCACTAGTAAAGGGTGAATACATGGAACTGGGGACCGCTGGTCTGAGGTTGAATACTGTGTTGCTTGACTCTAAGGGTCTGTTGTCAAAGCCAGGGTCATCATATTCCAAGCCAGATATTCTTAATGAGATTATTGACGCCTAAGAGCTGTGACCACTCTTCATACAATCGTCTCGTGATAATGGGACAGGCTCATTTTTCTGAGCGATACTGTCAACTAGGTAGTTCAACGATGTCACAAAGTGAGCGCAGCATCCCTTTTGGAGTTGCAGCCGCAATTGAAAGCTTTCGACGAGTCCTTACAAGACAGTGGAATAACGTTCGGGATTACACTTTGTCACGATCGGTCAGATCGGTTTATGTTTGAATCTGTTATAGCTGAAAGACCATATGAAGAGCGGAGTCGTAGCACCCCAATGGATATAAGCGAGTCGAGCATAAGTATAAGTGGCACTTGACAGAGGATTGACGATACGACTTCTGCATACGCGCACAGGACGCCGAAGTCGTCCAATAGAATTCAGCATTTGTCGTACTTACTGCCTCGCTTGGTGCTGGCCAGTGTCTCACATGCTGCCGTTTCGTTCTTGCTGAGCAGCAGGTAACGTCCAGTGGTCGGTGCCTACGTGTCAGCGGTGGGATTTGAACACACGAGTGCGAACACAGTAGAACTTGAGTCTACCCCCTTAGATCACTCGGGCACACTGACGATGACATAGAAAGGACAAACACAAACACACATACACACAACAACACATCAACCACGACGCATCACACGACACACAGTACCTGACCGCACAGCACCCGACCACACCAATTTCGAATGCGAAGGTTGACGTGAGCGCTCAGTAGATGATGCTTGTGGCCGAAATAGTAGCATCAAAAGTGAGTTATAAATCGTGTGTTATCTCTTATCTTCTGTACTGTCATATCGCCGCTTGCTGTCCATACCTTTACGTCTCTTCCCCGCTGATTACCCATTTAATTAACCAATCATTGGCCATTGTCGCGTTCCCTTTCTCTCTGATGTGTGCCACAAAGTCTTAGATTTTGTACTGTTGAATTGACTTAGGTTTCTGATGATGAGGTGGACTTGCGGTCGGGATGGAAAACCGAAAAGTGAGTTGTATTCAATTGGATTCGCAAATCGAAACCAATGGCTATCAGAAACCGATGACTTTCAGCCACCGATTTCACCGTTCTTTCTCTCCTATGTGACATTTCCTATCTTGGGTAATCACGACTCGCAACATACCTGCGGTAAACACTCCACACAAGCCTATGCCCAATGATAGTTCTTGCGTGGTGTGGGGGACATAACCTCAGGGAGGCCAAGGTTCTGGTGAACCCCAAACACCTGATTGCAGGGGTCATTTGCAATTGACTTCTCCACGGCGGAAATCGAACCCGCACTCAGATGCTTGGAATCCCTTTCCAAACATCTGACCAATTCGTACCCGTACCCTGTCGTGCTAGCACATATATATGTGCATCAATTCAAGCCTATATACGCAATGTACATTGTCCACACATAGCTGCACCATCAATCTCCAACATGACCATCACCAGGAGAGTATAAATGTGCTGCGCTTGAGCTGGGTAACGCTTTGTTTCATCCCGGCCGCCTTCACGGGTGGCACTAGTAAAGGGTGAATACATGGAACTGGGGACCGCTGGTCTGAGGTTGAATACTGTGTTGCTTGACTCTAAGGGTCTGTTGTCAAAGCCAGGGTCATCATATTCCAAGCCAGATATTCTTAATGAGATTATTGACGCCTAAGAGCTGTGACCACTCTTATACAATCGTCTCATGATAATGGGACAGGCTCATTTTTCTGAGCGATACTGTCAACAAGGTAGTTCAACGATGTCACAAAGTGAGCGCAGCATCCCTTTTGGAGTTGCAGCCGCAATTGAAAGCTTTCGACGAGTCCTTACAAGACAGTGGAATAACGTTCGGGATTACACTTTGTCACGATCGGTCAGATCGGTTTATGTTTGAATCTGTTATAGCTGAAAGACCATATGAAGAGCGGAGTCGTAGCACCCCAATGGATATAAGCGAGTCGAGCATAAGTATAAGTGGCACTTGACAGAGGATTGACGATACGACTTCTGCATACGCGCACAGGACGCCGAAGTCGTCCAATAGAATTCAGCACTTGTCGTACTTACTGCCTCGCTTGGTGCTGGCCAGTGTCTCACATGCTGCCGTTTCGTTCTTGCTGAGCAGCAGGTAACGTCCAGTGGTCGGTGCCTACGTGTCAGCGGTGGGATTTGAACACACGAGTGCGAACACAGTAGAACTTGAGTCTACCCCCTTAGACCACTCGGGCACACTGACGATGACATAGAAAGGACAAACACAAACACACATACACACAACAACACATCAACCACGACGCATCACACGACACACAGTACCTGACCGCACAGCACCCGACCACACCAATTTCGAATGCGAAGGTTGACGTGAGCGCTCAGTAGATGATGCTTGTGGCCGAAATAGTAGCATCAAAAGTGAGTTATAAATCGTGTGTTATCTCTTATCTTCTGTACTGTCATATCGCCGCTTGCTGTCCATACCTTTACGTCTCTTCCCCGCTGATTACCCATTTAATTAACCAATCATTGGCCATTGTCGCGTTCCCTTTCTCTCTGATGTGTGCCACAAAGTCTTAGATTTTGTACTGTTGAATTGACTTAGGTTTCTGATGATGAGGTGGACTTGCGGTCGGGATGGAAAACCGAAAAGTGAGTTGTATTCAATTGGATTCGCAAATCGAAACCAATGGCTATCAGAAACCGATGACTTTCAGCCACCGATTTCACCGTTCTTTCTCTCCTATGTGACATTTCCTATCTTGGGTAATCACGACTCGCAACATACCTGCGGTAAACACTCCACACAAGCCTATGCCCAATGATAGTTCTTGCGTGGTGTGGGGGACATAACCTCAGGGAGGCCAAGGTTCTGGTGAACCCCAAACACCTGATTGCAGGGGTCATTTGCAATTGACTTCTCCACGGCGGAAATCGAACCCGCACTCAGATGCTTGGAATCCCTTTCCAAACATCTGACCAATTCGTACCCGTACCCTGTCGTGCTAGCACATATATATGTGCATCAATTCAAGCCTATATACGCAATGTACATTGTCCACACATAGCTGCACCATCAATCTCCAACATGACCATCACCAGGAGAGTATAAATGTGCTGCGCTTGAGCTGGGTAACGCTTTGTTTCATCCCGGCCGCCGTCACGGGTGGCACTAGTAAAGGGTGAATACATGGAACTGGGGACCGCTGGTCTGAGGTTGAATACTGTGTTGCTTGACTCTAAGGGTCTGTTGTCAAAGCCAGGGTCATCATATTCCAAGCCAGATATTCTTAATGAGATTATTGACGCCTAAGAGCTGTGACCACTCTTATACAATCGTCTCATGATAATGGGACAGGCTCATTTTTCTGAGCGATACTGTCAACTAGGTAGTTCAACGATGTCACAAAGTGAGCGCAGCATCCCTTTTGGAGTTGCAGCCGCAATTGAAAGCTTTCGACGAGTCCTTACAAGACAGTGGAATAACGTTCGGGATTACACTTTGTCACGATCGGTCAGATCGGTTTATGTTTGAATCTGTTATAGCTGAAAGACCATATGAAGAGCGGAGTCGTAGCACCCCAATGGATATAAGCGAGTCGAGCATAAGTATAAGTGGCACTTGACAGAGGATTGACGATACGACTTCTGCATACGCGCACAGGACGCCGAAGTCGTCCAATAGAATTCAGCATTTGTCGTACTTACTGCCTCGCTTGGTGCTGGCCAGTGTCTCACATGCTGCCGTTTCGTTCTTGCTGAGCAGCAGGTAACGTCCAGTGGTCGGTGCCTACGTGTCAGCGGTGGGATTTGAACACACGAGTGCGAACACAGTAGAACTTGAGTCTACCCCCTTAGATCACTCGGGCACACTGACGATGACATAGAAAGGACAAACACAAACACACATACACACAACAACACATCAACCACGACGCATCACACGACACACAGTACCTGACCGCACAGCACCCGACCACACCAATTTCGAATGCGAAGGTTGACGTGAGCGCTCAGTAGATGATGCTTGTGGCCGAAATAGTAGCATCAAAAGTGAGTTATAAATCGTGTGTTATCTCTTATCTTCTGTACTGTCATATCGCCGCTTGCTGTCCATACCTTTACGTCTCTTCCCCGCTGATT